TGCTTGCCCGTTATCTCTTCACTTGTGGTGGAGATGCGGAAGATGATGCATTAGCAATGAAAACACTGAAAATGTTTATTGCTTTTATCCAAGCAGCTGGTGACTTGCATGATCCAGATAAAAATATCAGGTACCCTTCCTTGGAATTTTTTTTTATTTTGTATGCCCAACATTTTAAGATAGTTGACTTTGATTTTCGGGTCTTCGGGTTCCTTTGCTTGTCTCGTTCTATACAAATCAATATTGCTTTTTTTCTGAGGAAAATAAAAGAAAAGAAAAAACAGTCTTTGTTCCTTAGTTCGCCTCAATCAGTCGGAAGTGATCGAATATATCAGGATTTAATAGTGGGTTGACATTGGTTGCCTGACAGAACTGCTTTAGAATTTTAATCGTTAATTTGGAGTGGAGTTCTAGGAATGATGCTCTTTGCTAAAAAGCAGGAATTTATATTGTGGTATTTGTTCTGCTCTTCCATAAACAAGAAAATAGTTAAAATCATCTGGTTGGGTTATCGTATTATTTCTTTTAGTTCTATCGAGAAGGCATGGCTAAGAGCAGTTGCTGGTACATCACTGCTGAAACTTTGTTACATCCAAAAGTATTCTCACATGATGGGTGCGGATATGTTTGTAACCCTATCTAATTTGATGAAGGTAAAATTGTTCATAATTTTTCGCATCCGAGCATGGGTTTTTTCTGTAGGATGAAGCAGATTGTGTCCGCGGCTACTTCGTCCGACGCCTCAATAAAGGTATTTCAAGGAATAGGTTAGTTTTGAAACGCGAAATTTTTCAAACATTTTTTTGTAATTAACTGAAGTGCTTTCTAGATTAACCATAGAATACCTTTCCTTCTTCTCGATAGTCGCCGTTCTAGAACCTACAAATGTGGAAGAGGAAAATGCTATCAAATTGTATGTTTTTCATCAGATTTCCTAAAGAATATAACCGAAATCAAATGCTATCAGGTACCGTGAACAGTGTCGTAGTTTACTTCTCGCAGCTATCTCACGAAGAAGAAACCTAATACAATCATCATCGTTTGTCTCTAGTAAGTCCCTTATCCATAATAATTGGTTTTGCTGTTATCCAGATTAATGATTTGGCATCAGTTTCCACTACTTTATCCAATGTTAACCTAAAGCAAGAGGTTTCCTTTCACTCTAATTTTCTAATCACGTTTTCATTATAACCAGTCGTTGTCTTTTGCTTTCA